AGCTTGGCTAATGTTTCGGCATTAATTATATTGGGTCTGGAAAGATGACAGGAAATGGCATATGTGAGGGGACTACCCCAACGTGACTTTGAAATGCACTAAGCTAGCAAAAGAGTTGATCCGCAAGATGTGGACAAAAAATAAAAAAATAGAAGAATCTTCGCCGTTGTTCAGTCTACTTCGGACCAGGGCACGTCGCAGTTGGGCATTCTCTAACTTCGTCTGGTCTTTGGGTGGGGGTCGTATTTGGTCGCTGGGAGAAGGGGTGATCGTATTTGGGCTAAGAAAAATTTGTGTGAGTTGAGTTTTCTCGTTGCAGGGACGCTGTGACATGCTAGGGTTTCTGTTTCGTGTTTACTATATATCTTCCCCCCCCCCCCCCCCGCTCGACGGCTCGATTCGATGAGGAGGGACAGAGGGCCGGAGTGGAGGGGGGTCGTACGGACTCGACTAAAATCCCCAACCAATGATGTGCCCTGCCCACACCACAGCATAATTTGTGGGGTTAGGAAAATTTTCGGGAAATTCCGGAGAAAGTGGTAGGGAGTTATGAAAAATAGGGAAAATCTAAGAAATGGTAGAGGGGGTACTATTCCCATTTGCGCCTTTTCCCCTTTACATGTGTTATCTTACTCCCACCTCCCACCTCCTCCCCCTTTGACTGTTCGATGAGTAGGGAACCAAAGGAGGTGAGGGGGTGTACCAACCCCTTATAAAAAGGAGGGGTTCGTACGGACTCGACCAAAATCCCCAACTAATACTAGCGATGTGCCTTGTTTCGGAATGAGACGCTCATTCTACTTCCATTCAGAGTCGCAGTGGCTTATCGAAAACATTTGTCCTAAAGAATAACTTGGGGGGAGGGAAACCGATGTACAGCACATCGTACTTGTACTCTCATCCTCCCAGACGAATCTAGTATCAATTTACCTTCCTCATGAGGAATGGCTGGGTGGATTGGTTGGAGCCGATCCTTGACTAGACTGCAAGGTCGTGCGTGTGATAAGCGTGTCACTTGCTTCTACAACATCACGACAAGCTTTAGACTCGAACAGGGGTTGACTTGTTGGGAGCCCTCTTCTTTTTCTAGAGTTGCTATAGTGTAGTTAAACGCACCATTCACTCTCACACGATAGCCCACCACAGCGGAGGATGCTGAATTATAAGGCGAAAGTCGATTGACATCCAGGCGGACTCGAACGCGCAGCTCACGCTTTCCGAGCGAGTGCGCTATCTCGCTACGCCACCAGGACCGCCCTTAACCCTCTCACAGTTTGGGGTGCGTATACAAGTCCCGCTTGGGCTGTCCTTGAGCCTTTCCCGCGTTCGAGTCCTACCCGGGTGTCTCACGGGGTACTTGTCTCTCTAGATCAACAGCCGCAAATATCTGCAAAAAGACCGCCGTCATTGGAGTCCCGTAAGGAGAATAGTTTGCATTGCGTACAGGGTAATGCCCGTTTGGACTCCAGAAATTTCGGCTTCGAGCTCATTTTCAAATTGCCTAAGCCACCAAATCCACTAAAAACTTGTATATAGGGTAATTCAACACATACCTGATCATTAAGAGATACTGACATTCATTCAGTTGGCGCTGCGCCAAGATAAGACAGTCTACGATTACTGCTCTGGGCTCAGCCTTAGCAGAGCGCAGGTAACCGTAGTGTCATCCATTAGCGCCAGCGCCAAAAATGAATGTCATATTCGTGATCAGGATGTTGAATTACCCCTATATACAAGTTTTTAGCGGATTTGGTGATCTTGCCACTTTTAAAAATGAGCAAGGAGGCCGATAAATTTCTGGAGTCCAAACGGCATTAGCGCATGCGTCACTGGGAAAATGACAGCTGCAATTGCATGCGTGTAGGGGCTCAGAAGTGTCGAGAAAAGTTGAGACTTTTTAGGGTTTTCCCATTTCCAAGATTTTTTGGAAGCATGGGGCTGATGAGAAGGATAAGTTGGAGTTCTATGTCGAAGGGTCATACTAGAGCAGTGGTGGAGAGGGATCGTGCCGAGCCATCAGTTTTCTTACATCACTAAGCATGTAATTTGCCCCTTCTCTATTATTTGACGCACCGCACCACGTAGTAGATTCCTTTTTGAGCATACCTGGGCAAGAGCTGTACTGGCTTCAGGACCTCTCAAAGCTTTTATCACCTATTGGCACTTTGCAGACCGACGATGACGGGGATGTGAACTTTCGTGAAATTTATCAGTTATCAATACAATTTGCTGTTTTGTTACAATCGATTGGTCCAAGAAAAGGTATGTTGAGCTCTGGTTCTTACAAAGAATTTTCTGCGCTGATTGGTGGGGGGGGAGGGGGGGGGGGGGGAAGCGAGAGGGGCATCTTGCATTTTCGCCAGCTCCTTTTGCTCGTTCATGTTGACGAACAGGTCTCGCCTTGCAAAAGCTACAATGTTGTATGCTTCCTTTGTAGTGACAGAAATTTGCAAGACTTCGGAAGCTGGTCTGTACAAGTGCCGTTTGGTGCCCCCATCAAGCCATACTACGCCGAATTTTCTTCTGACTTTCACTGAAGTCAGTTATTTTGCCCATTATCGTTATTAAGGAGAACCTATCCTGCTTGTGATACCGAATTCTGCATGGTATCCTGTTTTATTTCTCGGTGCAGCACTAATAGGATGTCCTCTGACAGGGATCAATCAAGATTCCACTGTTGGTACTGAATTTCTGAACCTCTAATTTTTCGTGATTTAGAGGAATAATTTGAGAAATAATTGCTTACAGAAGAAATTCGCTATTATGCTAAACAGAGTGG